AAATGTTGACCATGTTCATTGCTCATGCTTTGCGACAAAGATTGAACATTTCATGCGAGTTTGATCAATGAAATAAAAAGTCCTCAAAAATACCATAAAACTGTTGGAGAAAATTCACCGGATTGGAATAGAGACCACAAAATATGAACCGGTAACGCCAATAACAAGATAATCTCAAACTTGTGTTAATGAATGGCTTGAACACGATATCGTTGTCCTCAAACGATATTTGTCTCTTCTCCCATGAAATTGAGATGCTTCGAAGGCTGTTGGCAAATGGTTTACAGGATTATACCAAGCCTTGCAAGGATTTAAACACCAAAACACAAGTGCAAATTCTAGAAAACTGGAAGAACACAAAGAATGAATATGAATATGGCTTTTCAAGACTTTGATATTTGATTTTAGAAGTAATATGGAATCTTGATGCTTTTGTAATGTGTTTGTCTTCAACATGGATCCAATATATATAGGCATACACCACATTCACGAAATGGTACCAAACATTAAGCAAAAAATCACCAATTTTGAATTTACAACAAGTGAAAACGGCCTCCAACAACAAAATGAATACACCATCCGACCGCATGGTACAAACCCATGCGGTCGCATGTTTTGCCCATGCCGAGACCATTTGGTCGGCATTAAGCCATGCGACTGCATGGCTATATGCCATGCGGTCACATGGACCAATTTTTATTATTATTATTTTAACAACATTATCACATCAAAAACATATTATATTTGAGTGCTGGGAGGGACATTCTGAGATGACAAGCAATTATTGTAGGATTATTTTCAAGATTGTAGGTTTTTTATGCATCCATTTAGGAAAAGAATTGTGTTCAATGCTCTTTCCCATTCAATTTGTGGAATACGTACACGCATAGCTGTCAATTTTTTCAATGGAAAATTGCAGTCGAAGCCTTAAACTTTTGAAACATTAACCTTTTAAACATTAGCAGACTTTTCTCAAACATTTGATTTGTTGCAGCCGTCAACCCTAACCTGTCCAAACATTGCAGGTAAAGCCACTTTGGACGATTTCCATCTACAATTCCATCAGTTGACCAAAAATTTAACGTTGACCATATTTTTATTATTTTAAAAAGGGGCAAAAGAGTAAATTTCCATTCATCACATTAAATAATAATTAAATTAAAAAATAAGAAATAAAAAAACACAATCCTTCTCACCCACCCCCAACTCAAACCCCAAGTCCACACCACCGCTACCTCCACCTCCACGTTTAGTGCCACATATTTTGCTTGGTTGACAGCATTTAGATGGGCAATCATTTATTCAGCGAAGCCAGTGCAACCAATGCAATTGCATTACAGACCTAGAAATTACTATAAATCTTCTCAAAGTAGGCATTTCTTCCGACAGTCATACATCTGTCAACAACCAGTAAGTGCGTAAGTGGGTAAAAAGAAAACCTCCATTTGCTTTCTAATTTAAAGATCAAACAGAAATTTCCAAATTACTTTGAAGAATGGGTGGAAATGTCAATACATCAACTTCCGGCCCTGATGTTCCACTTGCAAATCTGTAGTTTTTCTCTGCATAGATGTTAATTATCTTAAAATTCTTATCAAGTCATCCCCTTTTTCACCAGTATCGACAGATAAATTTTGGATATCTTCCTAAACCAAAATAATAATAATAATAATAATAATAATAATAATAATAATAATAATAATACAGTCAATTGAGATTAAATCTTTTAAAAAACCTCGTATTACTCAAACCCAAACTTCAAAGTTGAGCTGGAGGTGGCAGTGGTTGGTTTGGATTTGAGATTTGAGTTAGGGGTGGAGGTGGGTAAGAGGATGAAGATGGGGTTGTGTTTTTTTATTTTTTATTTTTTTAATTTAATTATTATTTAATTGATAAATGAAAATTTACTCTTTTATCCCTTTTTTCAAATAATAAAAATCTTGTCAAAGTTAAATTTTTTATCAACTGACCGAATTGTGGATGTAAACCATCCAAAAAGGCTTCACTTGTAATGTTTGAAAATGTTAAGGGTGATGACTGCAACAAATAAAGGTTTGGAAAAAGTCTACTAATATTTTAAAGATTTGAAGTTTCTGCTATAATTTTTCCATTTTTTTTATTTTAAAAGTAGGAATAGTAATATGATCATTTTACCCTTCACTTAATTGTTCAAAATAAGCCATAATTTTAGTTCTTTGATCAACTAACAGAGGAATGGATGGATTCCATACTCATGTCCACTAGCTACCTGTCATTAAAGGTTTGAGATCCTACTTGCAAAAATAAAAAGTTTGAAGCAACAATTTGAAAAGTTTGAACCCCAATTACAATTAAATTGATTTTTGGGCACTAGCAAGACAATGGCGAGAAAAAGTCCCAAATGATCATTGAACTTTACCCAAAGTCCCCAAGGAGGTCATCGAACTTCAAAATATCCCTAAGTAGTCACTAAACTTAGCTCGAAATTCCCCAAGAGGTCATCGAATTTCAAAACGTCCCTAAATGCCCAATTTGCAAATTTCAGTGACCCTCCAGGAACTTTTTGAAGTTTAGTGACTATTTAGGGACGTTTTGAAGTTCGATGACCTCTTGGGGTCCTTCGGGCAAGTCCAGTGACTATTTATGGACGTTTTGAAATTCGATGATCTCCTGGGGGACTTCGAGCAAAGTTCAGGGACCATTTGGGGTTTTAACTCGACAATGGCTGTATGAGTAGAACATGTTATTAGGATTAATGTAGTAATTAAATTAATTTCATAATTTTTTTTATTTTTTTTATTTTTTGTTAATTGTACTATGTGTTTTAATTATAATCAAGGTTCCAAGTTTTAGTTCATTTTTATACTTATGGTCATACCTTTTCTCGTCGCATTCTTATCTTTAATCTTCAATTAATTAATACGTCCAGTCTCTTATTACGATTTATGTTCAAATACTATTAGCTTGTAAAACATATTTTGTCGAACTTTTGTATTTGTCGTTTCACTTACTTATCTAAAAATAAGAATATAAATAAGAGTATTTACTCAATTCTAATGAATTTTTTGGACTTTGTCAAGATCACGATGTGCTAAATAATAGATTGTTGATGATAAAAAATACCACAAAGAAAGTCGAGGATATAACTGCAAAAATGAGCAAAACTCAAGGACCTCCATTGCAGTTTATATGCTGTTGTTGACAAAAAATTTGTATGAACATAATTTCTCTAAATCAAAATAAGTAAGCCCCCATTTGGTAGCAATTTTTTAACCCAAAAAATTAAATTTTTGACCTTTATTTCACTATTCCAACCCACTTTTTTCTATAACGGTGAAAAAATCAATTTTTTTAATTACTACGAGACAAATCCTAAACAAAGTTGGAGGACCAATAAAATTTTAGCTGGTTGGAAAGACTTTGTCGACAAAGCCCTAATTTTAAGTAGTGCCGGTCAACGAATTAGCGTAAAACAAGAAGAAAACATAAATCAATGTGGGATGTAGTCTTATTATTCAATGTCGGATTTGTGGCTCGTTCGAAACCTGCATGCTCGGTTGAATCTTGATCAAATTGAATTTCTCGTTGGAACTTAACGGGCCCCAATACCATATAAAAACTTGAAATTTGATCTTGAAATATCAAAATTATTAAAATGAGTAGTCTAAACCTAGACTGAGTACCAATCTCTTGTTGCCGCTGATAATGACCATCATTGAAGAACTCTTCATTTTCATTACCAACGATTTTGGGTAAAAGTCACCTAGATAGAAAAATGTCATTCGACATAATGAATGTTGGCAAGATATGATTGGATGAAAAAGTTGATTTTTTTTAAACCGTCCAATAATATGATGCCATGTGACATTACGTCAAAAATTATGTCAATCATTATGTTACTATAACATGATTCAAAAAAAATTAGTGGCTCGAAAATCCATGCTAAAAGCTGTTGTACTTTACTAGTTTGTAGCCTGTACCATTTGTAGGTTGGGAGAAGAGTACAACTAGCTAGCATTACCAGCGACAAAGTTTTTGGCTTTATCTGTAGGAGGGTTCAGGGCCCTGGTAGATTAAAGCAGCGACCCAGAAATTTGATGTGTATGGGAATTGATGGAAAATCAAGGGTATACAAGATTGAATATTTGATAACATATGCCTATCATGTCATTGCTGAAATAATCGTTCTATGAAATTGTAAAAATACGTCTCACCATGGACATGATGGAAAATATCCTTTCTTAGTAATAATTATATAAAAAGTTCTTACTGTTGCACATAATGTTTAAATAACCTTAGACTTATCATGAGTAACATTCTTTTCTATTTATAGACTGATTAGCTAAGTCGATCAAAATGGACCTCCATCCATGTCAAGTCGACCTCCATCCATGTGAAATCGACCCCAAAATCAAGAAGATGAAACAATACATGATCACGTGGAGAAAAATGGAGAAGAAATAGGAAACCCAACAAGGTGAAAATTTCATTCTTGTGTGACCTTGAATTTTTGGAGACCAATCTTGGCGCCCACAGTCTTCAAGTCTTTTTGTACCTCAGTCCGAAAATCGGCATAAGTAAAAGGTTTGTATTTAGAGCATTCAATCACAACATCTTCATCTGGGAACACAAAATAACCTATTGATATTCTCTCTTTCTCTCTGTTCACCTTCACTCTATGCTTTACGCTCAAATATTTATCATCGCTCATTGCCTACATACAAACATATAATGTAAATATGTGTTAGTAATTAAATCCCTATCTTATAAAATAGCAATACCAGGGCCAGGGGGCATATTTTCTTTTTTAAATTACAATGATGCCTTAAAATAGTACATCAGTTATCAATTATGTGACTATTTAAGAGACATATTAGACAAATTACCTTAGTCTATACTCAAAATATTACAAAATTTGAATGTCGGAATTCCTAATTAATACAAAACCAAAAACATTGTGTAATTTAAGATAATTTACCTGGGCCATGTCTCCAAGATTGACAATTAGAGTGTTGGGAATAGATTTGACATCAAGCCATTGATCGTCTTTGAAGACTTGAAGTCCTTGTACTTCGTCTTGATGTAATATTGAAATAACGGAACTATCAGTATGAACATCTATACCCCATCTTCGGTCGGAATCCATGCACCGGAAGTATCGATAAACTCTTAGAGTTCCAGTGGCAGGTGATAAATAAGACTTGAATTTTGTTGAACAAAGTTTGAGGTCCTCAGCCATGGTGCTGAATAATGTTGTAGCCACCCTACATTGTTGCCTTCCATATTCTTCCAACAATGATCTATATACATATAAATCACTCACCAAAATTTCAAACTAGTACCAAAACCAATTTTAATTTTAAATTTTAAGGGCATTGGAAATTTCATGATTTGAATTCAAAAGCATATAAAAGAAAGTTACAAGGCTAAAACTATTAACAAGTATTGATAGCTGACATGTCAAGTAGCCTGGGATGAAGGTGACGTCCACTCTTCGTTAAAGATATAAATCAGGTCACTCTTGACATGATATGACCCTTCTTTTGGCTCGACATACTTAAGAGTATCTCGTCAGCACAGCCTGTACTCAACTCGGCCCTTCTTTTGAATTCATGTGGGGGCAATGGACCCACAATTTTTTAGTTTTCATATTTTTAAATATTAAGATATTATTATTATTATTATTATTATTATTATTATTATTATTTTATGTCATGCTATTGCATAAAGTTTTTGTAACTTATTGACACTTGAAAAAAAAAATATATCGTGTTTTGTAATGGGGCTTATGGAGCAACAAATAACAAATGATCTTTACAGCTCAACATACTTTGGCATCTCTATTTTCAATATTTTAGCATAAGGAAAAATATATATGTTATTTCTTCGAGGGCTTACTTTTTTCTTGTGTTCAAGTTCATTGAACCCCATTTTCTGTAAATTTCCAGCATCTGTCTCAGTTGCTTTATTCTTAAATTTTTTAATGGCCCTTCCACGAAAAAATACCAAACTCGTTGTCGGACATAGATTATTTATATCTCGTTAAAACAGGTGTCAATTGGACGATTGAGGGGCCACTTCTTATGGCTGCTAATTGTCCATACTACACAACAAATAGTCAGTCCAAAAAATATGAAGAATGACTAACTATAGACTTCATGGAGAGAATCTCTAAGATTTAACTAGCTTTCAACCAGAAAAGTTCACAATAAAAATTGATGGTCTTCTTTGTTCTGTCCATTCTATACTATAGCTGACGCAAATTGTTTCCTTGTCCCTTTCGAGTCTATTTTTCTGTCACGTCGAATCTTGCAATAATAATTTTACTGTAACGCTGATGCCAAGATCAATAATCCCATTTTGAACGTCTGTTAAAGATCATTTCTAAGCTCGATTCACTAATAAGAAGTGGATTGATGCAGGATGAACCTAATACAGAACTTTGTTAAGTCTTAATGCAACTAATTGTAACTTGGATCATGGCCAACAGTATTTACCATTTTGTTTCTAATGATTTTTTTAATAATTTAAACTTTTAGATGAATTGGTGTAGTCTGTTTACCTATCTTGGCCAGAAAAAAACTAAAAAGTGCAGACTACTGCGATGAGAAGAAAAGTATACCTGAAAGATTCAAGCAATGGATCTTCGTATTTAAACTGCGAAATCGGGGTTAGAGAAACATTTAAACCCTCCAACCAGTTATGATCTTGAGTGCTGGAAACTTTTTGTAGGGCGTCGCCAGACGGCGTAAGGGCAGGGGTGCCCCAAAAGTAGGATAGGGGGCTGCTGCTACTGAACAAATCTTGCTTAGATTCAAATGAAAGAGAGAATAGTTTTTTGGCATGATCATGGAGCTGGTTTAACAGGTTCAATGGAACTCCATGGTTGATAAGCCGGAACATGCCCCAATCTCTACAGGCTTCACTTAGATTTTCAGGGTTCATGCACAGAAAATCAATAACTGGAAGACGATCTGAATCTGAATCTAAATGTAGTGAGGTTTTGCAGGAATGTTCATTAGAGTCAAAGCCATGGTTTGGGCGAAAAAATGGAGGATAGGATTCCAAGTTATCAAATTGAGACATCTAATTCTTAATTCTCTTACTTGGAGAGGTTTTCTTAATTGCACGTAGAATATATGCATTTATTTATATATGGTTAAATCATACGGCATCATGTCTCGAAATATTAATGTCAACTTCCAATAAGAGAGATTCTATGCAATGCACTTGTATATTGATTAGATAGGAGATTTTACTCTCTATAGTTGTTCATTTGATGAAGTCAATCTTAAGCCCCCGTTTGGCCCCCCATTTTCTAGAAATGAAAATAAGTGAAATAGTATTTTTTTTTTTTTTTTGAAAAATGAGTGGTTGAAAAAGAAGGGAATTTTTTTGATTTACGTGTAATATTATTATATAAAAAGTTGTGTGGTTGAAAATAGAAGAGAGAAAAGTAGAATGTAATGTAATGAAATTTAATGGAGGCCAAACGGGTGCTAAATTGATTGAATTAATAACCATAAGTTCGGATACAATTTATAAATTAAGTCAAATATTAATTTAAACCATACTTACGTAAATAGAACTCATTATTATTCACACAATTCGTAAGGTCAATGAAACATTAATTTAAAAATAATGTTATCTAACACCAATAACGTTAGAGCACAAGTTTATATGGTCCCACTTAACATGTCCAATTAACTGGATCATGTGACTTTATATTTAAATAAATCTATCATTTAGTCAAACATTAATTTAAACTATAGATACGTAGATATAACTCAAGTTCAGTCCTGAGGCGAGGCCAATGAGGCCTGAGGCGTAGGAGGCCTATTATGGCCCGAATTTTTTATTTATTTCTATTTTTTTGAAAACAAGGGCAGACCTAGACGGTAATAGCCCGCAATCCATTTACCTTAATCTATTTATCCAACCTAACTTATATATATCCAATTATTCACTATCCATTTATCCAAAATTGCAAAATCTGAAATTCAATCCCAGGGCCTGCTCATCGGTCGAACAGTTGAAGTCTCATCTCCGTGACTCTGGTCACTCCGCTAGGTGCCAATATGCCTCTGCCTGTCCGCTCCGTACGCCGTTTGCCTTCGCCTCCAACAACTTATTGTCTAGTTATTTCCTTTCTTCGGTTTGTTTCTAAACTTTTCCCATTGATTTGATGAATTTTATCAACTAGGTTGTCTTTATTAAAAAAAGGTTGAACCCCAACCTTGAGAGCCCCCACCGCCCCCTCTAGAGCTTTATGAGGGAGGTAAATCGAGGGATGTGCCCCAATAGGTGAGGGAACAAGAATTGTCTGTATACTGTGCCTACAAGGAGTCCAATTCCATATATCAGGAATTGAATCCCCACACTGCGGCTGCCAGCAAGGCGTGAGATAACCTCACTCTTCTCCTTTGCACCACTGGGCTATGCCCCAAGGGGGCACTATGTTGTCTTTATTATATATATGTGTAATTGTTAGATCTGTAGAATTTCATAGATTTGATTTTTGATTGATGAAAGGCTTTGTTCCTATTAGTCTATTACGGTATTACCCTATGGTACATATTCAAGTTAACCTTTTCAGGCCACTGTTATTCTCCTTCATCCCAGAAACATAAATGGCTGAAATAAAAGAAAGGCCAAATCCTTATAGTGATAAATAATATGAATCTGTTAAGAGTAAAGAAAGATTACTGTCATTAAAGCAAGGAGGAACCATATTTTGGTTCTGATATTGCAAGATAGGATTATGTTCTAGTAAAGATATTCTATTACTTATACACGTTTTATTGAGTTACAATAAAATGTAAACCTAAAAAATGTTTATATGAAACAATGATTCTATTTGTCTGACTACTTGATAGTACATGAAGGTTTTCAACCCAAACTGAATTTTCTAGGCGATAACCAAGAATTCATATTCAAGGTAAACATGAAAGATGTGAATTGGTGAGATTTAATTGAGGCCCTTAAACTAAATTTTCCAGGTGATAACTTAATTGAAGGAATTGATTTGGATAACTTCTTACAATACGACAATGCCCTAAATTTAATTCTACTTAAACTTGATAATGTGTAAGTTAAAATATCATAATGACTATTTAGAAATAAAGAGCACAATCAGTTTTGTGACACATCACACAAATATAAAATGATCTTAAGTAGTGTATAAATCTTTAGTCAATTATGTCGATTTCTTAATCCACACTTCCACACTTGGCACTCGTTCCTTCACTCTATGATTAAAATCTTTAATTTATTTAAATTTTTATTTCAGGCTTGCAAGTTGTGACGGTGGAATTCTCAAATGTGTAATTTCACAATTTTTGTCGAAAATTCACTTCTCAAGTAAGCAATGACTTGCCATAACTTGTTATTTGAAGAGATTGGAAATGTTTGAAGCATTGTCGGCTTATATAATTGCGACGGACTGATTTATCAAAGCTTGACTGGTTCTTTATATCCAAATAATATGAAGTAACGAAGTGGATTCTTATTTGTCCAAATGGTACTTCGAACTAAAAACCTAAATATAAATCTAAATTAACAACTAAATAAAATATATACCGGGATGTCTCAGAAAAATTCCCAGTTCTCCTTTTGGTGCTTCAACTCTTACATAAAGTTCTTGTTTGGACAATAAGGCATAATATTGAGAATGCTCATTGAATGAGAAATTCAATAAGAGAGCTCATTGGTTATTGAAAAATGAAAAATTGCACAGGCGTATGTAGTAAATATATTGAAAACTGTAATTGTGAGATAATTGAGATATTTTGTAATCATTTTTAGGTTAATCATTGGACATTAGATATGGACTCATACACGATACCTCCTAAATATGAGTCTGATGCTTAAAAGAGAAAAAAAGAAATAAAATGAAATTCCATTAATTCAAAGTCAAGTAGGGGATATTGACAAGTACTTCAAAAGCAACAATGTAAATGCGTTGAATGAGGATGAAGTAGAGATTCAACATGCTCGTTTTTAATGAAGTAGATGATAATGATGAAGAAGTGAGTCAACCTGCCTATGTTTAAGTAGATGATAAAGAAGAAGAGGTGATGAAACCTACTTGTAACAAAGAAGTTGATGAAAAGGAAAAAGAGTGTTGTTTTTTCTCTAAATTTGGATGATCCGGGAAATTAGAAAATCATAGATCAGAGAACAAGGGATTGCTTAGTTTAAAGGGGGTCCAAGAAGAGTTGATGACATCTCGTTTTTGAAAGATTGTACAAATAGATATTTTGATCCTTTACAATATAAGCAATTGCTACCAAATGGACAAATAATTGATAGAAGATGGCTACTATAATCAATCTATATGGATAGGATCTTCTGCTTTTGTTGGAAGTTGTTTAAAACACCAAAAAATGTTACCAAAGTTGGCCAACTAGGTAATGATGGATTCAAAAGATTGGTATAATTTACATCGGTCTATTAAAAGTTATTAAGGAAATACGGAGCATTTATGTTGCATGACTAGTTAGATTAAATTGGAAAATAGGCTTCGAACAAAAACTACAATTTATAAAAATGTTGAATTGTTGATCGATGCAGAAAGAGAACATTGGATGCATGTATTAACAAGGATAATTGCTATTGTAGAAAGACTCGTGAAAAACACATTGTCATTTCGAGGAGATGATGAGAGGCTACATGTTGAGAACAATGACATGTTTTTGCAAATGGTAGAAATAGTTAGTGAGTTTTGATCTATTAATACAAGAGCACCTTCGTTGGGCTAAAGCAAGAGAGATTCAATAAATATATCTTGGCAAAAAGAAATCTAAAATGAGTTGATACAGTTGTTGGCTAATAAGATGAGAAGTGCAATTGTTAAGAAAGTTAAACATGCAAAATATTTAGGAGTTATACTTGATTGTACTCCAGATGCAAGTCACGAAGAGAAAATGTATTTAATAGTACGATTTGTATATGATTCGGCAAACTTACCTACAGTTGAAGAACAATGGCTTGAATTTTTTAAGGTAGATGACACAATAGAACTTGAACTTGCAACTGAGCTTTAAAAGATTTTGATTAAACTCGATCTGGCTATTGATGACATTAGAGGGCAAGGGTATGACAATGGATTTAATATGAATGGGAAGCACAAAGGTGTGCAAAGAAGAGTCCATGAAAATGAATCCCCGAGCTTTCTATTCTCCATGTGGTGCTCATAGTCTGAATATAGCATTATGTGATATGGTGAATTGTTGTTCCAAAGCTATATCCTTTTTCGGAGTGATACAACGCATCTACACATCGTTTTCCTCTGCTACCAAGTGATGAAATTTTTTCAAAGATAATGTAAAAGGTTTGACAGTGAAGCCATTGTCACAAACACGTTGAGAAAGTCATGTTGAGAGTGTGAAGCCTATAATGGAGAAAATTGCACAAATAAGAGATGCTTTACTTAATTTAGCAGAAAGTAACGAAGATCCTAAAATATATGTATTTGATAGGTATACTAGATTCTAACAATTAACCATATGTATTTGAGCAAAGGTTGTTGCATTGCTTGTAAAATCATACTTCTTGTCATTGCTTTTAGGCTTAGTATTGGAATTAAAGAAATTTTACTTTCTACCTACCATTACCGAAACATTAAATAAATTTCATGTTTACAAATGAACTATTTTAATGTTAAGAACATTTATTGTTCCCTTTTACCTTGATAAGATCTTAATGGTTGTGGTACATATATATTACAAAATAACATTTATATTCTAAATATTCAGAATTCTATAATGAGAATAGAGATTGAGAGGCATAAATGTATTATCTAAATAACACCTAAATCTAGCATTGCAGACTTGGTCACATTAAATGATAATGCAATTTCAAAAATTACATAGAGATGTATATATAGAGTCAATTGATTTTGAATCATTTCACAAGTATGAATCATGCCTGTTAGGCACAATGACCAAATCTCATTTTACTTGAAAATAAGAAAGGTTTGCACAATTACTAGCTCAATACATAGTGATGTATATGGACCCACGTCAATTAATACTAGATGAGGTTTCTCTTCGTTCCTCACATTTTTTACTACTATTTCAGAAATGGTCATGTATACAGATGCGAACCAGCGTAGCAACGAACACTACGGGA